CGCACTCTCGCCTGCATTTCGCGCACTCGACACGCACGATCTCCGCAGAGGGTTGCACTTTCGGTTGACGCTGTTCGTCCCACCCTCCGCCTTTAAGAGAGAATTTATAAAGTGGGGAAATGTTTTTTCATTAGGACATCTCCCGTGCTAGTTCACTTGCCTACTCATTGCATGCTTGCTTACTCATTGCATGCTTGCATACTCATCACTTGCATACTTACACTTGCATACTTTGACAGCTTTCGCTCTTCCACTTACACAGGGCTACGTGTGTTTAAGTGTGGTGAAAGTGTCAATGTCTAAGTGTGTCTAAGTGTAAGTGTCCAAGTGTCAGTGTTCAAAGGATTTTCCGGAAGAACCCTTCGCAATGCTTTCGGGAAAAAAATCCCAACCGTTCTCCAAGGACATTGAAGCTGACGCACGGTGGCCTCGCAAAGTGGCTTGGCGAGACACTTGACTGGTGGCCGTGTAGATCTCACCAACCAAAGGCTTGTCCGGTCCTTTCTTCAGAGCTTCGGGTTCTGGAGGAGGTCGCTGGGCTTGAGCCACCGCACCAGCTCTTTGGCACCTCTCCGACCCTCTCTGAGGACCTAATTCGACTCGCATCACAAAATGCTCATTGAAGCACCTGGACATCTTTTGATCCCATTCTTCATGCATCACTTGAAGCACTTCTTGAGAGCTTTTGGAAACCATCTGGCGGTCTCTGCAATGCTTCTCCCAGGCCTGCCCAATCATCTGTGCCAAGCCCGGTTTGACTTCTTGGTGAATCGTCCAAGGGTTCAGCCCAACGGCTGATCGAAGAATGGACCCTTCAGCAGGTCCTGCTCGTCCTCCTTGATTTGCCCCTGGACTTCGAAATTCAACCTCTGCGTCTCCTGTTCGCTCATCATCTCTGAGACCTCTTGAGGTGTCCAGCCGTGATTCATTGAGCCGTCCATCGAAGCATCTTCGGCTGCCATGTCGTAGCGCATGGCTCCTTGTGTCTGGATCCCCACAGGCATTTGACTCCCCCGTAAGGACATCATGTGAGACATCACTTGACTCAGCATGGTCTGAAACTTTTGATCTTGGCGTGCCAGCAATTCCTGGATGTCTTGGACCTTGAGTCCTGCCGAGCCACTCTCGATGGTCGTGGATGGAGTCGATGGGGCTGCCACTTGTGGCATCTTCTGATTCTCCAAAGACGGTTGCTTGGAAGGCTTTGGAGGCACTTTCTGGAAATTTGATCCACTTGAACTGCTGGTCGTCGACGACGCTGGAGCTTTGTTCAACAGAACTTGGACGACGGGCTTGATGCCGGCCTTGAGCTGCTCGACAGTCGTCTTCTCGTCGTACGAGACGTGGACCAGCGACGCCAGCTTTTGGAGATCTGCCTTCAAGGTAGGCAGGCCTCCTCGAGGGCCTATGAGTTCCCTCACAGCCTCGATCTCCTTGCCTTCCTTGGCTGCTTTGTCGGCTAGAGCTTTGGCCTCCGCCACGGCTTCTTGGCGGATCTTGCTCGATGCGCCCTTGGCGGACTTGGCCGCTAACATTCCTTGGAGCATGGGGTCCTCCGCGAAGAAGGTTTGCCAACCAAGGCGATCCCTGAGCCACATCACTTCCTTCAGGTTCCCAGCTGTGAAAGCTCCATGACTTTGTGCTCGTTGGAGATGGCATCGGGACATCGAGCCATTTGACACCATTTGCTGGGCCTGCAGCTGCCACTGCTGAATGCTGTGGATGGAGGGATACGGAAATGGAGTGTAGCGCAGCCAAGGCCGTCGACACAACCATAAGCAAATGCCTTGCACGTGCCAAAGCAGTCTTGCGTGCAGTCTTGTGAGGAATCTCTTCCATTTGACTGCGATCTTGGCGGTTTGAGCTTCCGCCTCCATGAAGGATCCCAAGAGCTTTGGCTCGATTGGGTGAGCTTGTAGTCGAAGTTGTCGGAGACAAGGCCGCGTCTGGCGTTTGAGCCATTCTGGGAGCCAAAAAACGACGAAGAACCACCACTCTCAACTGAAATTCCAACAAGCTTTGCTGCACAAACGCTGTGTTCAGACAACAAATGCTCATGACTGTTGGGACCGGGGTTGTTTGCGACACGTATTGACTGCACTGCTAGTAACTTTCGCTGCAACCACTCATGGTGGGAAATCTGCAAAGCAACAACACAGTCTTGTCCAACCCTCCGCCATCTTTGCTTGCCTGGCTTCGGCCATTCCAATGGGATGAGCCGCAATGCGAAATGTCCTGCAGCCAGCTGCTTCAGCGGAATGTGGTGTCCACTCAAATGATCAGCTCTCATAATCTTCTTTGAAAAGCTCAAAACACAACCAATGCCATCCAACCAATCACGTCCAAGCAACAAACCAAGGCTGCCAACAGGAATGATCGACACCCACGTCAAAATCAAATCCGACCCGATGACCATAGGCAAGCGAACACGAGTCAAACTCTTCTGTGTCCCTCCGTCTCCGAATCGAAAAATCTCCTGCTCTGGGCATCTTTCCACAAGCCTTTGAATGTCCTCGGGCGCATTGCGAAGGGCTGTCATGTAATGTTCCAACCAAGCCGACCCACAACATGTCCGATTGCACGCCGAATCGAGCGCACCCATCAACCTTTTGTCCAAAGACAGTGAAGCCAGTTGTCCAACGTGAACTTCATTCGACCTCTGAAGGGCCTCTGCCAAAGTGGAAGGGTTGCTGATACGAGATGTAGTCATCACCTCGTGCGTCAGTGATTCATCCGGCTCAATCGCCATTTCAGTTGTCAGAGCTTCGGTCACTCTGACCTGCTTGCGCGGCTTGGATGAAGTTCCCTTTGGTTTGAATAGGCCAGCTCCCGGGTTTGGGCATCCATGGTCACCACTCCAATGCCCTTGTTGTCCTCAATCCCAGCAGCTCGATTTGGCCTTCTTCCCATTGACTTGGTTGCCCGTGAACTTGGGCTTTGAAGACATGGAAGCGGCACCTTGCTTCCCATATCCTCTGTCTTTCTTGATCTCAGCAATCTTGCGGCGAGCCTCACGCATCGTCACCAAAGATTCGGCCGCCTGCTCAACGCCACTTTCCAAAGCCTCCAAGACATCGGGTTCCAGCCCTTCCTCCTCCAAGGCCTGAATCTCGGCCGCCAGCACCTCAGCTTCTGCTGTCAGGACTTCTTCAAGAGCCGGCTGTGGAGGATCGGAATGATCCGGAACAAGCTCCTCATCTTCCTCCTCACCTTCCGGGATCTCGTCTGGCGGGCCTTCTGTCACCAAGGCACTTCGGGGGGCAGCTTTTGGAGTCGGTTTAAAGCTCCGTTGCGAACCACTCGAAAAACTTGAACTCTTGAACGACCGGTTCCCAAACGACGAACCTCCACTAGAGGGCAAGGATGTACGATAGGACGATGAAGGACCTGAGGATTGGGAGAGAAACCTGTGCAAGAGTGGTGAGCGATCGGTGGCCTTCTGTCGATGAAGCGGGTCCTCAACATGCAAGTCCCTAAACAGGCGCAAGCACTCCGACTCAACTTCTTCATATGATTCTCGACCACGCAATGCTGTATCCAACAATTGCACCCTCAACGTGTCCAATCCCAAACGGTTCCTCAGAAACCAACCAAGTTCATCCGAAGGCAAGTTAATGCCCTCACGCTTCAACTCAGCTGTAAGTGTTCTGAAGCGCGAGCAAAAGGCGCTGATCCGTTCCCCTGGCGACCTCTTCAACTCAACGTAAAACTGCTTTCGGAGGTCTCCTTTTCTGTCCAGGGATGTTTTCCCCATAGATTCTTCCAGGGCGTCAATCAGCTTCCTGAGACCTTTCCAGGGATCGGCCTCTTCCACCACAACAGTCTCGCCAGTCGCGGGGTCTTCGACAGTGATTTCTTTCGACCCCTGGAGTTCAGAAGGAAGGAACTCTTCGCAGCGAGCACGGACAATGCCTGTCTGCCTCAATGTCCATCTTGCAGCAACGTTAAACTTGGAGCACGACACAGGGTCTAGTGAAGCGATCCACCATTCCATCTCCCTTTTGAACTGCCGAAACTGAACTGGGTTGCCGTCCCATGTTGGCACTTTATACCAAGCGGAGGATCCTTTGTCGTCCTCTGCCATTGCTTCCGCAAAATGCGAAAGATGAAACAGCACACTGAACCTTCAAGGGACAATGTACAACTCAACAGTGCGCAATCCAGTTTGTAAGATCAAGCCGCAACACGCAGTGTCCAACCAATGATCAACCAACCAATGTAATGTGCAATGCAGCAATGTATCAATGCACGACACAATGTTGTTCAACCAAGTGGCAACACGCAGTGTCAACCAACGATCAACCAACCAATGTACGGTGCAATGTAGCAAAAAGGATCACGGGTGTCACTCCAACAATGTAAATTGGCTTCACCAATCCAATGCAAGAATGCCTTCACCCAGTAAATTCTGGTGTTGTAACAACACTGGGATCAGGCGCTGCCCGAAAGAACCAATGTCCAAAACACCAACAAATGCAAGAGCGGAGTCGGGCAAGCGTATGCAGGGCCCCCAAAGGGGCAGAAACAACAGCTGCCGGCGGGTCTTCAAGCTCCGGTTACCACTGTGAGCGCAAACACACAAGGCAACGTTTATGCTCGAATCGCGTAGCGCGTGAAAATGGCTTAGACCTGAAAAGTGAAACGGCCGCGGATCACATGTCATCAGTCCAACCCAAAAGCACAGAAGCATTCTCAATATATATATATATATATATAAGCCCCAAAACAAAGGGATCTCAGGGGCTCAAAAGCGCCAGCTGATCTCAAAGCCGTAAAGGCCCCTTTTGTGTCAGTTTGTGTTTGGCCATGGCCATGGTATTTTACATTGCGTGAACTTGAACTCATCTCAACTCACCTCCCAACTCTTGTGATCAACTCATGTCAATCCTGGTCAATTTCTCGCTGTCTCTTCCCTTCGGCTTCCGCACCGCAGCAACTCGCAACAGTTCCGGCAAGTGGAGTGCCTCCACGCGGAGGAACGCGGGGCAGGTTCAAAGGGTGACCTTTGCAATCAAAACTTTGTTGTGCCCAGAATCACCTAGGTCAAAGTGAAAGTTTCACGGAGGGACTGAAGAGCACACTTTTTGGTGTGCGGGGGAGACGGTGTGGCAAAATGGCTTGGGAAATGGGTGGGGTGGACAACAGCATAGCATCAAGAGACAACAGTCAACAGTGCCGGATGAAACACAAGCACTTGAAGAACACGACTGGAGATCCCGCGATCCCCCAAACACGCAACTAGAGAAGCAAATGGCTGGGGCTGTTGCGCTGAGGCGGCCAGGACCGTACGTAGGTTCTCGTTAAACAAGGTAACGGCCTTGTTAGGAACCCTAAGGTTTTTGTTCATGCTTGATATCATTAACGGCTCCTGGCCGTACTACTAGGAGCAAGGACGTTACTAGGGGCTTCTGGCCGTACTACTAGGAGCAAGGACGCTACTAGTTACTAGGGGGCTCCTGGCCGTACTACTGGAGCAAGGACGCTACTAGGAAGGAGTCCCAAAACAGGGTGCTGTTCAAGCGACTTGCAAAGACCAGTGAGGAAAGGTCGTTGCCAATCCACTCCGCAACTTGGTCGTTTGTCACCGGCTCGCTTTGCGACGTCATTGGCCGACAGCTGCCCAAAGATCGCCATTGGACACATTGCTTCGACACTGCTAAATTAGTCCTTTACATAAACTTGGAACTTGTGCAAGTTCAGTTGGTGGTGGGTTCTTGTGGTCGTCACATTATTCGGCGCACAGACTGGCCGCCCTTGTGAGCTGGTCTCCTCGTGGCCGGAAGGGCAAGGACACACTTTGATCACAACTTACAGAGCACTCGTATCTACTGGTAGGCCCCACCAACCCCATGCCTACGTGGTTAGCAGTTTTGGGCAAGTAGTCTAATGTAAAATATAGAGAGAGATGTTGTTTTCTAGGTGGCGGGGGCTCACAACCTGCGGTAGGCCATTAGCTGCTCCTTGACTCTTTGACGGCTTCACGAGCTGGATCTCAGGATAGGGGCGAGGGTGTTGATGGTTGGTTGGACTGTCAAGCTAGTCACCGCCCACTGTCCCTGCCACATCGTTCCGCATCGTTTTTTGGATGGCCGGGAAAACAACTCCCAGTTCTCCTACTACCTCGTTCTTCGGACACATCAACGACACAATTGCGATGGGGTTCCTAACGTCGCCCACAATGGCTGGGCCCCATGAGGCTGTCTCCAAAAAGTGGCATGAAGATGAACCGAGCTGGACCAGTGACTGTTCAAAGAAGAAAACAACCACTAGTATATAGCCGCTCTCCAGTTTTCACAATACTCGCATCACCTGCTGGTCTGCTTATACAGTCATCCTCCAGTGCAACAGAAATCTGCAGACCCCCCCCAAAAAAGCAGAAGAATGTCGGGTCACCCTTCCCACTTCCACTCCCACAGCGCTGACCCGCATCAAACCCCGCCTGGAAGACCGCAGGTGGCCAGGAGATGTCGGTCAAAAGGCACTGAACCTGGTCACTGGGCTCACTAAGCGCCGTCTGTGCATCCGCGACAACGTTTGAAGCATCAAACAGGACCATGGTCGATGAGTTCAGCGGAATCCACTGTGGGATGTTGGCCAAAGGCAATCGAACACCCCAAAGGGCGTTGTAAGCTTTCCGATAACTAGAAACGATGTAAAGTCCGGGGGCGTTGATCAAGGTATGCTGTACCGTAGCACATGGAGCTTGACATTTTACATCCGCACACTAAAAAGTCAAGTAGCAGCATCTTCAGAAGTATCTTCCAAAAGTCTGTCTCTAGTAAGCATGGATTCAAATTCGATGCGCTCATTGAGTTGCCAAGGGATTCTTTCCCCAGCGGGAACAACACTCGTGCGCGCCTCATTCGCATCTTCCCGCTTGAGAGGGCAATCCAGCCAACCTGGTTCAACCGACACACCAGGACGTCCTTCCGCCCACAGATGAACGCTATGTCCGTTTCATGTTGGGAGCGCCCTGGGAGTGTCTTTGGGGAGTCTTTGGATCGCCGGCGCACGATGCCCAGATCCAAGTCACAACCACGAGAGGAGAAGAAGAAAAAGAAGAAGAAGAAGAAGGCCTACATGTTCAGCCAACGAGTCAAGCGCGCCAGCCTTTGGGGATCTTCTTCAACTGCACGAAGATCCAAACGAGGCTCTTCAAGAAGAGCTGGTGCACCTGGTGCGACGTTGGGTCAGTAACGTCTTTGCTCCTAGTAGCGATGCCAGGAGCCCCTAATAGCTTCTTGTTCCTAGTAGCGATGCCCATTGCTCCTAGTAGCTTCTTGTTTCTAGTAGTAAGGCCAGGAGCTACTAGTAGCGTCCTTGCTCCTTGATTCCGTGTGTTCGGTCGACGGCCCATGAGTGTGGGATGAATTTCCTGACGGTCCATCTTTGGAGTTGGACGGCCCTGAGTGGGGTGACCAGCTCACATCCACACTAATGAACTCAAGGCCAACCATTTAAACACATCAAACCACCAACAGCTCGCTTCCTCCGTCCCGTCTGCCACCCGTCTTCAGCCTTCGTGGGTGAACCAGGGTCATTCCCAGGCCAGGGGGGCCCCTCCAAGCCAGGAGTTGAGAAAACTTCCCACCAAAGGGTTTTGCTCTGTCCTGTTTCATGTAAGGTCGGAGACAGCAGAGGGTTATTTATATTGCCCATCTATGACGACGAAGTCATACAATATTTGGGTAGCGGTGAAGCCAGAAGTCGCGGTGGCAGGACAGCCATGAGATGCTGATTACTCCTAGCTGCCTCCTGACATCTGGGTGTCACATGTTCGGGTGATGATCACCATCCCGGCTGGCCTGCCGCAGGAGCTGCGGGTTGTCTAACAGCCCCCGCAGCGACACGAGACTTTGCCTCAGTGGGCATTCCAGGAACGCCCCGAATCGGACCCAAGAAGAGGGCATTACAAGTGAATTCAAAGAGCTCATGACGTGATACCTTGCTTGCCTAGACTTGGATGTTTATGACCTCTTGGATTCAATGCTGGTAATTTTTTGAGGCTTGCCAAGGGGGTAAAAGATGTTTGGGGTGAAAATACTGGCAAACCTGCTGACCTGATCGCTGCCCCAAGAGCCCATCACAAGGAGCCCCACTCGTAGGTCCGCACGGGTGCCTCACAGACGGGCTGCAAGACAAAGCTCCTCGCCCGCGCGATGATTTTTCAAAGACCACCTTCAAACACTATTAGGAGCAAGGACGCTACTAGGGGCTCCCGGCCGTACTACTAGGAGCAAGTAACTACTGGTAACAAGAAGCTACTAACCTTCTTCTTCGGATGACCGGCTTGGGGATGCCAGCGGTCGGTCCAGCAGTGCTGTCTCTCAAACGTTTGCATGACCTGCGACTCCGGGACTGGGCAAAACATTAGAAGATTGTTTAGATCTCATCTTGGAAACATCAAGAACCATGTATATATATATATATTATATCACCAGGCATACTTGTATAGTGTATGTATATATATATATATGCTATGATATGATTATTCCTCCAAGGGCAAGACTTGGATGATTCTAAACACAAACCAAAAGACCCTGGCTTTGGTGGCTTATCTATGATCCAAAAGCCAGTGTCCAGCAAGACCATGCGCAGTCCTCTCCGGTGGCCTGGAATGCACGGAGTCCAGGAGGGGACTTGTCGGATGGGCTGGAATGTTCATGTTGAGTTGATTCAAGACCCGGTAGCTGAAATTGGCCGGCTTGAAAATAGAATGAGACCCATACTTTCATACCTGCCAAGTTTCTGTTTCCATTTTTTAACCGCAGCCCTGTGAGCCATGTCGATGTAGGGAAAAAGACCTCTTAGTTTGATTTGTCAGCTTGACCCAAGGCAACTGCTCAAGTAAGAGACGGCTTGCTGGTGCGGTCGCACTGTGATCACATTGCGCTTATGCGAAGTGATCTCAATATATAGAGCTCTATGGCCAGAGGTGATTCAAAAAGGCACTCCCCAACTGCCAAGCGTATTAGTGGGGCAGGAAAGAATTGCTGGTTCCTTCAAACATCAATCCAAATTTTCCAAGGGTCAACTTGACCAACTCATTCAAATAAGGGGCCGTGAGACCTGACATGAAGCGGGCGCACCTCTGGTTCTCAAAGGCATGGGCAAAGGCCTCGTCGATCTTACCAGCCTGCGGGCGAGGGTGGAAAACCTCCGTTCTGCATCGATCGAAACTCCGTTCTTGCAAATCTGGCTCCAAGTTCTCTGACGGGCACTCCCCACATCGAAGCATCGCCCAACCTCCACGTGATGGCAGCTTGTGGGCTCCTGACAGTTCGAGCAGCTCAGGATAGAACTGCCAAAACCGAGACAGGACGCATTAGAAGCTGCTCGTAACAAGGTGCCTTACTAGTACCAGTAGTAACAAGAAACTACTAGGGTGGAGGCCATCGCTAGTAGGAACAAGAAGCTACTAGTAATCAGAAGGGTTGCTATCCTCATGTGGTTGTGAACCTCTCCTCATTGCACCCTTCACAATCCAGAGCTTTGGAGTTTCACCGAGAACCCAAGCAGCATAGAGAAGCAACACCCCAGGCCCCCAAATTCAAGCCTCGTTCAACGAAGGATGTAGAAAAACTGATCCTGTGGGGGTATCACCCTTCGGTGTTGCCCGGTAGAGGCAAAGAAGCAATCAAGCGGCCTTTTTCAAGGCTGCGCCCTCACACAGCCAACGTGGCAAACCTCTCTAAGCGACACTTTTGGTCATCACCCACAGCTGTCAAAAGCACAGAGCGAAAAATGTGCTGCTCAGTGGCCTGAACTCACTATGGCAAAAAAAGATAATGTGATTGCTGCAAACCGTCAACCTCTGGGTGCGTGCGAGGTGCCACCTCCCCGGCATGACTGTCACGCAAGGGATCATGCAAGCCCTCCAGGCTATTTGGCCGCTGGACTGACCAGCGGCCTAAAATCAATCGCCCTCGGTTCTCGGATGCTCCTATTGGAGAAGGTGAGAAAGAACCACATCTCCAATCACCCCAAAAGCCATCAGACGGGAGAGATGATAGGTATCAGTATCTTCAGTATCGTCATGCAATCCAAAAGCTCAGACCTTCTAGTTGCAGAGGACGAATAAGGACCCATTCTGCTCCATCTCCCGAATGGACCGGAGATCATCGTCCAACACCTGAAGGCGTGGGCAAAAGGATCTGACGGTCCTTCCCATGTCAAGCAGGACTTGATACCTACTGTCAGACTGCTGAGGACATGATCAGGCTCTTTTCAGACAGCCCCAACATCCCCAACTGGGGCTGTCCACCTCTCCACCCCCAAAATCCACGGATCCCAACCACATCCGCCTTGGGATCCTCGTGCACCAGGACACACATGCCAATCAAGCTGAAGAGGTCGATGGTCTTCTCCACTTGACGTCCAGCTTGCAGGTTCTCTTCCAGAAAGACCACCGATGGGAGGTTCCTCACCCTCTCAAATTGGGTGGATTCCACCAGACCATCATGGTAGGAGATCAACATGGAAACCTGGCTACTGCTCCGTGTTTCACAGAAAAAGACATGAACATTATATATATATATACAATTCATCATTCTGCCTCTCAAGACACATCAAATGATGTCAAATGTCCATAGATGTCCCCATCACATCTGCGCTGATTCTGGGTTACTTTGATCTCGAATGTCAAGACACTTGCCCAGAGGCCAGGAACTCGGATGGTACATCTGGAAGGCGCTCAAAGGCTTCTTCACTCAGGAAGGCATCCACACAAGCGCTCACCTCAGGGATCGTCTCAGAGTGCGACAAAGTTCTGTGGGATCAGCAATCATTAGTCTGATCAAAGTAATGGTTCAACGAAGATCATGCAATCTTGCAGGTTCTACCAGCTGGAACCTGATTCTCTAGGTGTCGACCCCAACCTCTCAAAACAGCGGTATTGTAATTTCAGAGCATAAATCTTTGATTGATTTCATCACCAACCAATCAGCATCAGCAAAGGCTGCTTTATCTCTATTTGAGCTGTAATCCAGGGGGCGAGTGTGGAGATGGCAATCGCTCAGCCTCCCCAGACTCGCCTGAGTGTACCCTGTCATGGCCCTCGCAAGAGGCATCCAGGACCCAGCTGCTCCATGGCAACGACTGTTCACTTCCACCAAGCAAGGGCCCGTCTCGGTCATCATGACCTGCTTGCAGCCACTTGCTGATCGCACCACGAAACAGCGCTTTCCAAAAACAAAAAATAAGAAAGGACCCATCTACTTGGAGGTCATGCAACTGTGCAGAAATCTGGATCATTGAGTCTTGCAATTCTTCTGGTCAGCTGAACGATGTAAACTCGGGATGGCTTCCACTCTTCAGGACAGGAAACCTGGCCAGAAGGAAGTCCCAAAGCCCAAATCCAACGCCGCCCGCCTCTGTGTGGGTTGCGCCGTCGGTGATTCGCAAGGCATCCAAGCACCCGCGCGTGTAGGCGATGAGCTCCTGGAGTGGTGACACTCGGTGAGACTGAGAACTGCACCGGAGGACCCCAAACACCAAAAGCACGCATTGCCATGTGCAACGAGGTCGAATGACAGCCGAAGCCAAAACGTGATTTGTTCCGCCCATCTTGGGTTCCTTTGGCCGTTCTCGGACCCCTAAGCCCCTAAGCCAAATCTAGTAGGTGGTGCAAGCGGTGCTGCGAGCCGCAAACGACCAAAAGGCAAACGAAGAGCTCTCCTGAGCCACCGGGCTCTCGGATGGGACACACTTCGTCCCGAAGCAAACAAAGCCCGCACCATTGGCTGGGCGGCGGTCGTAGACCCAGACCAAGGTCCTGGGTCTTGTTCAGTGGAGCGGTGGAGCGGCCCATTTTCTCGAGGGGATCGCGGAGAGCCGGGAGAGCGGAGGAGGCAATGATGATATAGAACCATCCATATAGGATGCAGTCATACTACTGATAATTACGTGCAAGATGACGTTAGAATATGTATACAAGATGTCACCGAAACATGAAGACCCACACGACTCAAAAGACTCCCTGAAGTTTTGCGAAAAGCATCGTCTTGTGCACGCCATCCCGCGAGACATGATCCACAATGTACTCTGTACCCTTCAAGTACTCTTGCAACAAGACGGCAGCTCCTTGAGATCCGGCCTTTCGTTGAGAGTTCATCAGCAGGTGAAAATGTTCTTCGGCCTCGCCGGCACTTCGACACAGCTTCACTCCATCCGATCCCGCCGACTCCACCGGCTTCACAATGATCGGAAAGGCTTCGGTGTCGCTGAAGGCCTTCACATCGTCCCAGCTTCTCCCACAGACTGAGCGCACCGCTCTCAAGCCATGCGCCTTCACCGCATCCTGTTGCACCTGCTTGTCACGGCGGTTGGCCATGCCACCTGCCGTGGTATTGCCACGAAGACCCATGTGCTCCTCGAAAGACGTCAGAAGATCTTGAGGACTCAAGTTGATTCAATATGACTCACGGTATGTAACTAGGCTTGTGCCAGCGCTCACAAAGGGATTCCATGCTGTACAGCTATTTAGTTCATGTTTTACACGGATTCCACCAACCGTCACACTTCTCAGGAAACAAACAGCATCTGCGAACATGCTCGATCCTCTACTCTGTAGGCCAAGAATTACGAACGAATCACCTGGCCAAAATACCCATCCAAGTTCCATCGTGGTCCATGTCCACCAGCAAAAACACCCGAGAACTGCTTTGCCCCGAAGACCTACATGATGATCCATCATGATTGGAAACACCTAACTCTCCGAATCCGTCATCGTCTCTGACAGGACCCAAGCACTCACAAGCCAGAAGGATCCAGAAGGTAGAAGGACAAACAATCTTCCCCAACTATTGGCATCGCTACTAAGGGCTCCTGGCATCGCTACTAGGAGCAAGGACGCTACTAGGGGCTCCTGGCCTTACTACTACGAGCAACGCTACTAGTAGCTTCTGGCCTTAGTACATCTTCCATCTCCATCATCTCCAAGGCTCTGAGAGGGCATCGGCCACTTTCACTCCCGTCTCACCACCGCAAATCACCGCCACGACCTCGCCGTCCGCACGGGTGGCGGCATCATGCAAGGCACGAGCGGTGGAGGCCAAGGTGGAAAGCTCGTCCACTTCGGCCAGAAACTTCTCCTCAGATTGAAACCGAAGCCTATGAGCTGAGCGGTGCCTTCACTCCAGTTGTTTGAAGGTACCTCGGGGCCGCCTCAAAGCCTTGTTTGAAGCTGGGCGTTGTGGCTTGGAGGGGTGGTTCTCTGAAGCATGGGGTGTTTCAGATAGGAGGCGTGAAAAGGTGGGACGGTGGGACACCGACACCGAAATCTTCACTGAGCTTGGAAAGGAAAAAATAATGCAAAAGCTGCAAAAGGTAATCATGTGGAAGGCAAATGTCAGGGAATCCCTTGGCAGCCTGAGGCAAGTGATCTCGATTCTCGCCCACATCCTGCGTCCACAAAGCGATCACGGCATAGCCCCTCTCGTCGAGCTCTGGTGCCAACATGCCACCGGTGGAGTAGGGATCGACAAGCACCACGCATTGAGTGCCCTTCACAGCGGTGTAGCCTTCACATATACAAACGGTTCAGTTCAAGATCGGATTCACTCCAGCCAGATCTACAACTTCTTTCTAGTGCGGCACCAAGTGGGGTTCTGCAGTTCTGAGGCCAAGTATATAATTCTGAAGAACGCGCGCATCCATGAAAGTTCGTGCCACGTGAACAACATCAACGAAAGTCCGCTCACCTTGCCTTGGGATTCGCCTTTGCACATGGCGGAAATGGAAGGTGGGAGCAGGTGGGAGATCCGAGTAACTTGAGCAGCTTGCTGCACAACAAGGCTGGAGGCTCTAAAAGTAAGCTGCAATTGCACTGAAGAGGATACAGTAGAACCCACACATACTCCTAAGCAAGCGTGGCCGTTGGTTTGACCAGCAAAGTTCACACGATCGAATTGCGTGCTTTTGGGCAACAAGATCCCTCTTGGTTCGTGAGTTTCACATCTACAGCCGGATGCTAAGCACTACTTCCCCTGTCAATCAAAGTTGGAAGCACGAACGATATTGAGAATGCGTGTCCTCTACCTGGAACTCCTCTGCTCGTCTCCATGTGCCAACAATCAAGAAAGCAGAGTATGAAGTCGCGAGGGCACCCGTCCAATTCCAAACAAATAAGTAAAACAGGTGAAATACATTAAGAAGTTCAACCCAATCCACTTGTCCCCAAAGCCTCTCCCTGCAGCACCCACGGAGGGTTTTCAGAGAGTCCTGCATCTCAAGGCCTCTCAGTTCAAGCTGCACCCAGCCAAAGCCACTGGCCTTAAGATTGACCCTCCAAAGGGGAGAGCATGCGGAGCGCACAACGGGGTTCAACTGACCAAACCTCCAAAGGCATTCTGAAATTCGGGGCTAGGGCGATTTCAAGTGTTTCAGATTACCCAGGGTTTCATTGTGCCAACAAGGTGTATATATATATTTTTTTTTTTTACACTTTTCACAATAAATGTGGGTCGGGGATACGGTGATGTGCGATGAATCATTGGCTTCCCGTTACAGTTGGTTCTTCATCCTAGTCCTAAACCCTGTGTGGCAAGTTGATCTCCGTTTCAGGATGTTTCAAGCAAATTTCCCCAAACTGCCACTCACCTGTTGGCAGCATTTATGTAATGTAACCCAAATCCCTCTCCAAAGGAGTTCTGTTTATCTCCGCACATCAGAAGACCATGTGCTGACTGAAGTTTAACCCCCGGCATGACACTGCACCCCTTTCGCACCCAAACCCATCGAGCGCCCAGCCAATACCCGGACCACACAGGCCAGCCTCTCATGGCTCCTGCCAAGCTCAGCTGCATGTCTCAGGTTCCTGAACCCCTAGAAACTCCAAAGCTCCTTAAAACCGCCTTCCCCACTCGTTCAGAGTCTCGTTTTGCTAAAGCAAATCGAATTCCCACCCACCGATAAATTTTTGACAGATCCTGCAGAAGAGGAGACTGCCAGGGCTTCGGCTCACTGTCCGCGCACGCCAGTGGCAGCTGAGGCTGCTCAGCAGCGAGGGCGCCATGACTCGGGAGTTGGAGCTTCAGGGAAGGCTTGACGGGTTCGTTTGGGTTTGGAGCGAGTCAGAAGCCGCTGAAAAGTTGAGGGTCTCCACTTCAACGTTGCCCTCTACACTCACCAAGTCAACCACTGGATGGGGTAAAGCATAGATAGAAGCACAAAACTCACCAGGGAATTCAAGCTACTCACCTACTTGCATTTTGCTTTGAGTTTGAGTATGCATGTTCAGTTCTTAATTGTTTGTGTAATTCTTATTTGGGTGTGGACTTCCTTTTGTTGAATGAAATTTGAGTTGAGTGCTTGCTTTGAGTCGGATCAGTTTTTGTTGAGGCTGGCGGGTTTTTGCTGATAGGGTCGTTTCTGGACCTTCCATTTCACTTGTCATAGAATCAACAAATCCCTGGTAGGACCCACAAGTTGTTCGTGCCCAGTGTATTTTTCCTTTGCGAAGGCCACGGAAAAGAAGGAACCTCCCTGTTCTGTCTATTTGAGGAGTCACCCCTGGCAGCCCTGCAACAGCCCACTGGTGACCATGCCATAAGTAATCCAGGCACTGGAGTAGAAAAGCCCCTCCGAGCCCTTGGTGATAGGAGCCTGGCTCTCCTGCGGCCTGAGGATATGAGGGCGAGCTGGAAGTGCTGGTATCAGAATGAAAACGAAACCCATCAGTTTCAATTTATGATCCTTTTCCAACACACATTCAGGTTGATTCGGCTCATGGTGCGTCTGTCCAGCGCCCGGTTTTGGGGCAGCTTGTTAGGTAGCGGTGGGTCTTCACAGATGGAGCCTTCGAAGTGGTGAAGGTTGAGTTATCGGGGAGTCAGCGGCAAAATGCCTGGACACAGATCTTCAGTGTATGTTCCGGCTCCTCGTCCTTGATTCTCAATGGGTTTCAATACTTTGTCTAGACAAGAATTTCGACGTATATCCTGGAACATCCAAAATTTCATTCCCCCTTCCCTCTTCAGGGTTGACCTCAAGAAAGCCACACCCTGACAGCGAACCGTGGACCGGCCTGGGAGCACTGAGCGTGAAGAGTGGTAAGGTGAAAACCGCCAGCAGTGGAACCTCCAGAAGAACGGCCAAGAGCACCAGCACCAGCAGAGCTGGCAAGAGGAGCACCTGGGCTTTGATCTCTCGTGCAGCACGGAAGCTCAGAGGACGGTGCTTTGATCTCCGTCGACACTGTGGCCGTGGTCTCCGGATTTGGAGTTTTTGCGAACAGCGAGCACCATCTGAGCAAAACAACGGTGTGGGAAACCATCCAAGTCTTCTATAAATGAATATGTATATTTATATATATATATATACTGTACTGTATACTGAATCTACCACCTGGTAGGCCCGGTGAGGAGTCATGCTGTCGAGATCGTCGCCCAGGAGCATTGAGCCACACCAGAAGAGAGGTCAAAGGATGCCGCAGCTTGGGCACCTCCAAGGTGATCCAGCAGAGGTGCACAACATATCCTGCGAGAGCACAAGTATGCAACTGCGGAGATTGCTGCTGACAATACTGGCCATCCTGGGATTCTAGATCTTCAGGCTTCCTTAGCCTCTCATTGGGAAGCCTCAATTTTCCGCCTTCACTACTACCCCTACAGTCAGATCGCAGCCAAGGAGCGAAGGTACGCCCAAAGCAGTGCCAGGCGCTGGCAGAGCACCTGATACACGGATGAAACTCAAGGAGAACCGGAACATCAATAGCCTAGCCTCAGCATCGATGAAATAGCCCCAGTAGCCCCAGTAGGCCCCAGTTCCATGCTGTTGGCTGGTGACTCCAAATCGACCAGCTGGACATGTCTCCAGGTTCATCCAAGCAGCAGAGATCACCCAGATTTGTACCTGGGATCCAAAGGTCATGTCATAGATACTAACGGGCCATCACTAGTTCAGCTCAGCTCATGCCAGTCATGCACCAGCTCAGCAAGTGAGAATCAAGGATGGCCACGTCTTGCGTCTTGACCATTGATTCCCTAGCTGTTTACTGCATCTTGAGGCGCCTACAGCTACCCAGCCACCCCAAGTTGTTTGAAAGCGTTTTGAAGGCTTTTCTATGTGTTGGATGAGGACCCAAACATACTGCTCCTCCCCGCACTTTCAACACTTCGTCTGGTGGCAGTTCGACAGTTCGACCAATCCAGCGGAAACAAAGTGGCATTACTCGAAGAACCTAGCTACAGTACCCTTGAGGATGAGAGTCCGCTGAAAACCTGCATACCTGTTGGAGTATTTAGCGTAGAAGAGCATTGTGCTGGCTAATGCTTATCAACCTCTCGCCCTTGGTGTCAAACAGGCTTCGGACACCTCCAAACCCAAACAAAACCTACCGCCCTACCAGAAAAAGGCTAAAGATTGACTTGCCTGGCGGAAGCAGGCTGCCCTTGCCATTTTCAACAAGAAGTACAAGGACTTGGAGCTACCAATCAGCTGCTTGAAATTCTGAACTGTAAAACAACACAAACCCAGCCATGCCCGACACCCCATTCCGGATCCGTCGAGGTGCCGCCAGCGGCCACTCGGCAAAGGTGGTGCGAAAGTATTGCAGCAGTCCGGCCAGTGCAGCATCCAAGGCCTGGTGGTGTGGTGCATTGGGGTTTCGGAACCGAAACAGTGGATGATCAGTCACGGCAGCTTGAAGAAGTGTACTTAGGGGTGAAGGAAAGGCTGCAACCGTCACAAGTATGATTTTGATGGGTGTCCAAGCTATACAGAAGAGATGGCTGTTGCGCAGGAAGACTGATTCTGGTGGTGTGTTGTCCTGACTTAGGATAACAAGGTGTCGTACTGTAAAAGAACGATGCAAGGAATCTGTGCAACGATGTTTTTGACCAAAACTACCCCCGGCACTGGAGAAACTCATCGTTCCACCAGCGCCAGTCATCAGCCCAGCAGCCGCTCGCGGCACATCGCAGGCGCTCAAGCGCAGTTGCCGCAGCTGCAGCGCCGCCAGAAACACCCAAAGGCCGAAGTTCGTGTCTGGGAGACAGGAAATAAACGAGACTCTTGCCAAAGCATCGGGTGCTTTGAGTGGAGTGTTGGGTGTCAATCCCAAGGGGGTGCGTTGGCAAGAAACCGATCAAATTATATACCTCAAAGTCATTGGCTAGCAACAGATGGAAAACGTCCCCCCAAAAGAACGTGGAGTGCAGTGGATATCCAAACCAAGCTACAACAGTTCTCTGTAAAGAGCAAATTAAATGAATACAGTAGTTTGAAATTGACTCTTACCCAGACTGCGGACGTGGCTTTGACTCGGCTTTGACCCATCCCCTTGGCTACTGACAAGTCAAAGGAGTGATGGCTTGATCTACAGTGAATCTTCAACAACTCCAAGATTTGGGACATTGGGTTCGTGGTGCTTAAATCTACCTGGCAGCTTTGTGGGAGAAGCTATTAGGGGCTCCTGGCCTTAGTACTAGGAGCAAGGACGCTACTAGGGGCTCCTGGCCGTACTACTAGGAGCAAGAAGCTACTAGGGTAGAGGAACAGCGAGCGCCTTGTTCCAACAGCGAGCGGGTCCCCAAGACCGCCATGTGGATCCAGAGCAGAATCCTGTCACCCAGGACTGGCGTGGCCCCCCCAGGTGATCGGTTTTAGGACAAGTACCTGCTTTAGGCTTAGGAAAAACCTCATCAAAACGGGTCACAGGCTCACAGAAACTAGTTCTTGCGAAAGAAAAGAAGAGTTGTCTTCATCCAAGCAATGCAACTCTCTCTGCCATGTGACTAGACTAGCAGCTCAACTACATCGGGCTCTATCATTCTCTTCTTGGCGTGTGTCTCTGTTTTGTGGCGACAAGCTAACATCATCACAGCAGTCACAATGTCAGCTTGTCCCCACAAAACAGAGACACACGTTGAGAGGAGAATGATAAAGCCCGATGTATAACATAGTTAATGTTGGACTGCCATCACTCTACAAAACAACCACACCAACGACCCAAAGAGCAA